TATATGCTACAGATACCAAAAGTTTGAGGGGAAGATTATAAACATTTATGCCAATAATTTGACAACTTTTATGAAATGGACAAATTCCTTAAATGTCAATAGTTATCAAAATTGACCTAAGAAAAAAATAGAAAACCTAAATAGTCCTATATCTATTCATAATATTGAATTCATAAACAAAGACCCCCTCCCCACAAACACAAGGATCAGGTCCAAGTAGGTTCAATAGTGAATTGTATTAAAGAAACATCTAAGAAAGGAAAATTCTCTACCAGTCCTTCTCAACTCTTTATAAAATAGAGGAGCAGGGAACACTATCCAAATTATATCTTGATATCAGTATTACTCTGCTATCCAAACCAGACAAAACCATTATAAGAAAACTATAGACCAATATAACTTCACAAGGATGGGTATAAAAATCCTTAACAAAATAAGACATAAGTGAAATAAACAATATATTAAAGGATAATACATGAAAACCAAGTGGAATATGTTCCAGGAATGAAAGGTTGGTTTGACACTCAAATCAATTAACTCACCACCTTAACCAACTATAAAATAAAAACCATATAATCATCTCAGTAGACAGAGAAAAAGAGTTTGTCATAATACCGCACTCATTCCTGTTTTAAAACTTTTAGCAACCTCGGAATGGAGAGCAACTTCCTTAGTTTTATAAAAATTATTTTGGAAAACAGTTTATCAGTTTTTATAAAAATAAATATATGTTTCCATGTGTTCCATGAATTTTAATCCCAGGTATTTACCTGAGAGAAATGAAAACATATGTTCACAAAAAGACTCTTTTTTTTTTTTATAATTTTTTTTTTTTTTATTTCGGCATATTATGGGGGTACAGATTTTAAGGTTTCAATAAATGCCCATTCCCCCCCCTCCCCCCACACAAAAAGACTCTTTTATAGTTGAATCTCTAAAATGTTTTGCTGAGTAAAGCCTTACACAGACGAGAGCATACTGTTTCATTCTATTTATATCAAATTCTAGACAATGCAAACCATTGAACAGCAGATTAGCAGTTGCCTTGACCTGGGAGTAAGTCTAGGGGATTGTCCAAGAAAGGACATGAGGAAACTCTTGGGGATGATGGACACATTATTTATTTTCCTCTGGTGGTGGTTATGGATGAATGCATTCGTCAAAACTTACCCAACTCTGTACTTAAAATGTATATATTTTACTGTATGAAATTTTTTACCCCAATAAAAATTCTACATGATATGTCACAGGTAAATATCTAGAAGTGATTATTTTTTATGAAATTAAGAATATCTAAAATAAAAAATGGTATATGATAAGAATTCCTGTTTGAAAATGGTAGACAGAAATAGATACTGACATGTATTTTGATGAAAACTGCAGGGAAGATAGCTATATTTCTCTTGAATTTAGGAGAATATGGATATTAAGTTTAGGAAATCAGTACAGGTAAATAAACTGTGTGACTTAAGGATATCCACAATAATAACAAAGATAAGAATTTTTGTCTTTAAAGTAGCATTTGAAACCTTTATCAAGTGAAAATCAAGAAGGGAAAATGAGTTTAAAAAGTGAAAATAAATGGAAAACATGAAATAAAATGACAGTAACAAATACTATTTAAATGTAATATAAATGACTTAATCTCACCAATTAAACTCTCAAAATGAATTGTTCAATAGTTTAATTAAATGATGTCTATAAGATTTTTAAATCAAAGTGATAAAAATAAAAAGATTGAACAGATATACCAGGCAGATATGAATGATAGCAGTAAATAAAGCTAGACAGTAATCTCAACAGATCTTCACTGATAGAATTTGTAAAAAGATTTAGTTGAGTAAAGCAGAAGGTGAACCCACTAGAAAGTTTTGAGATTTAATAAATTGGTAAATGTGTGTATAAATATAAATAAGCAATTACTTTATAGAACTTAGTAATGCTTAATTTACTAGATTAAGGGGGAGAAAACAAAGTGAAAATAAGTACTGTGTAACAATAACATCCCTGAATGGAAGGGAATGGCTTGAATTAAAGCATATGAAGTTTCTGGTACTCTTCAGGAAAAGAAGAGGTAATTCAGTTTAGAATTTATTAGTATGTTAAAAATTTAAAGATGACCAGACACAGTGGGTCACTCCAGTCAGCCCAGCATTTTGGGATTCGAGGTGGAAGGATCACTTGAGGCTAGGAATTCATGACCAGCCTGGGCAACATAGTGAGACTCCTTCCTCTACAAAAAAAAAAAAAAAAAAAAAAAAAAAAAAAGCTGAGCGTGGTAGAAGAATCACTTGATCCCAAGAGTTTGAGGTTGCTGTGAGCTATGATGATGCCATTGCATTCTAGTCTGGGTGACAGAGTGAGGTCCTGTCTCAAAAAACAAAACGAAACAGCACATGTATGAGCTCAAGAAATAGAGGAAATATAGCTGAAAATTGAATTACTTATGTTGAGGAAAGGCCTGAGATTATTATAATAATGATAAATAGAAATAATTGGTGAGTGTGAAGTAGAAATTGAACAAATAGAACGAAAAATGCATTCAAATATATAAAATCTGTTCAAAGTACTGTTTTGTTGGTCATAGGCCATATTATTAATGTATTCCCAGTAACAGTATTTGTATGGTCATATATCTTCAATTATCTTGGGTATATATACTTACAAATGGAATTGCTGAGTCATAGGGTAACTATTAAATTTTTGATGAACTAGAATGTTTTCCAAGATGGCTGCATCATTTTACATTCTGGTGTATATGAAAGTTCTGATTTCTCCAGGTCTTTGATGACACTTCTTATCTGTGTTTTCTATTGTAGCAATCCTAGTGAATATAAAGTGACATCTGGTAGATTTGATTTGCAGTTCTCTGATGATTAATGATGTTGAGCATTTTTCATATGCGTATTAGTCATTTGTATGTCTCGTTTGGAGAAATAACTCTTTGAATTCCCTATGCATTTTAAATTAGGTTATTATCTTTTTATTACTAAGTTGTAAGTTCTTATTATATTCTGGATACAAATTCCTTATCAGATATATGATTTGCAGATAATGTCTATAATTCTGTGATTTATGTTTTCACTTTCTTGATAAAGTAGTGTCCTTTAAAGCATATAAGTTTTTAATTTTGATGATGTGCAGTTTATCAATTTTTTCTTTGGTTGCTTATGCTTTTGGTATCATGTCTAAGTTACCATTGCCTAATCCAATGTCTGGAAGAATTGTTCCTGTGTTTTTTTAAAGAGTTTTGTAGTATTAGCTCTTACATTTATATCTTTGACCAAACTTTATACTTTTACATGTGGATATGTAGTTTTCATGGCACCATTTGTTGGAAAGGTTATTCATTTCCCACTGAACGGTCTTGGCACTTTTGTAAAAAATTGATTAATCGTAAATGTAAAAGTTTATTTCTTGACTCTCAGTTCTGTTCCATTGCTCTATTTGTCTGTCTTTGTACCAGTACCATACTGTGTTGATTATTGTATCTTTTTAGTAAATTTTGAAATCAGGAAGCACGAGTCCTCCAACTTTGTGTTTTTTTGCAAGATTGTTTTGGCTATACTGAGTCCCTTTCATTTCCATATTAGTGTTAGGATCAGCTTGAGCTTGTTCATTTCTGCAAAAATAGGTAGCGTGTTTCCTCGAAAATAAGACCTGCCCATTAAATAAGCCCTAGCAAGTTAGCATTTGTGCAATATAAGCCCTACCCCGAAAATAAGACAAGACCTAGTGATGGGTGTGGCTATGCAGCATATCTGCACAACCCATGCATTTCGTCGCAGAGCAGTGAAGAAGATGAGCAGTCCTTCTCATCTGCCCCATCATGACAGCTACTATTCCAGAGGTGACCGAAAAGGTGCGGGCAGCCCCACCAAGGTCGGCTCCCCCACCAGGTCCCGGCCATTCTGTGAGTGCTGCAAGCTGAAGCTTTGAGGGGAATATAACACATCCCCTGAAAATAAGATCTAGGGTGGCTTCTTGAGGAAAACTAAATATAAGACCCTGTCTTATTTTTGGGGAAACACGGTAGCTGGGATTTTAATAAAGATTACATTGATCTATAGATCCATTTGGGGACCATTGACATCTTAACAATATTATGTTTTCCAATTCACAAACGTGGATGGTATTCCATTTAGTTGGGTCTTCTCTAATTTTTTTAATGATATTTTGTACTTTTCAGTTAGACATTTTGTACTTTTTTGTTAAATTTATTCCTATTAACAGAATTGTTTTTTTTAATTTCATTTTCAGAATATTTGTTTTTATTGTATAGAAATACAATAGATTTTGTATGCTAATTTGTTTCCTGTAATTTTGCTGAACTCATTTATTAGTCCTAGTAGATTTTTTTGTATTCCTTAGGATTTTCTGCATAGAAGATCATATCATCTTGAATAAAGATACTTTTACGTCTTCATTGCCAATGTATCTTACCTATGTTAAATGTTTGTGTATATATGTATCCTATAGAAATTAATAACTTTCTGCTTATATAGATTGAATGTATCATTTGATTTGAAGAAAATAGTAGTTTTTAAATATTAGTAACTTACTTTTATGGAACCAGTTTGCCTTTGATGCTTACTGTATTTATCTGTGAGATTAACTGATCTCTAAAATATATAATCCATGTCACCAATATATTTATTACTCAAAAATGATGGAGAGGGGTCATATTAAAATTTTTTATAATATCAAAATAAGAAATGACCTTTGTATACTTCCTAAATTTATTGTTTAAGTGAAAGAAGAAATAAAAGAGTTCATTATTAAATTTCCTAATTGGCTTCATTCTTAACTAAGTCAGTTTTGTAAATGATGGTTATGGAACTTGGTTCAGATGATTTAGATGTTTCTGATATATTTAGCAAATATTTACTATTAAAGTACATTAATTTCACTTACCTTTAGAAAAATTGTCATGTTTAGTTTTTCTTAGCATTGCTCTGAAAAATTCTGAGTTTTTTTTTTTTTTTTTTTTTTCTCCCTAGGTATAACTCGGAAAAATCCTAGAACACCTCTTTCTGATCTTCAGGGCATGAATACTCTAAATGAAAAAAACCAATAGTAAGTGTGTTTGTTTTATGATTTCAAGAAAGTATAGAAGAAATAACTAGCATTTTTATAAATATTTTTGTGACTTTAAAAGTATGAAGAAAGTCAGGCTTGGTTTGTTTTTTATTTCTTATAGCCTTTATAATAACAAATTAGTGAGTTAGAGTTAACAAAACTTGTCTATGATTGCTTTTGGTAAAATGGCTGTACAATTTTTTTAAAGTTTGCTTTTGGTAAAATGGCTGTACAATTTTTTTAAAGTATCCTCAGAATAATTTTAAACATATATTTTAATTGCTGAGATCCTTCTTGTATTTTATGACTTTTGCAATATTTAAGGGTTATTCTGCTTCTTTCTGTGGAGAAATATTATTGGCAAGTAATAATTGAATAGTGTGATTTACATCAAACAATCCAATACATTTTTTTGGTGATTATGATTACCAAAGTTTACTTTTACCATTTTCAGTGAAGAATTATTGAGTGCAATTTGATAATAGCAAATACAAATAATTTTCTGAGTTTATAAATAAAGTTTTTCTGTCCTTCATTTATACCATTTAATAAAGGTTGTAATTAATATGACCAGAAGCATTGTTTAGTTTCTAGAGTGTGCTGACTACATTTTAAACATCATCAAGAGAATTAAGTTTCTTAATACCTTGGTAATTCTGGTAATTTGGGTGATCTGTGATTAAAATGAAGGCATAAATTCAGTAATCATTTAAAAAGAATTTTTTTTTTTGAGACAGAGTCTCACTCTGTTGCCCTGGTGGCTAGAGTACAGTGGTGCCATGGCAGCTCACTACAACCTCAAATTCTTGGGCTCAAACGATCCTTCTGCCTCAACTTCCTGAATAGCTGGGACTACAGACGTTTGCCACCATGCCTGGCTAATTTTTTCTATTTTTTGTATAGACAGGCTCTTTCTCTTGCTCAGAACTCTTGACCTCAAGTGATCTTCCCACCTCAGCCTCCCAGAGTGCAAGGATTATAGGTGTAAGCCACTGCTCCTGGTCCATAAACTAATTTTGTAAAGATAGGTATATAAGCTTATTTACGACAAACCTTTTTACAGGGATCTTGGTTACATAAGCTTCATTCTTTCCTTTTGTATACAATAAAAAAAGATAAATGATATTGAAGTAATGTTATCAGGAAAAGGCCAGCTAGCAGTCTTAATAAGAGTTTCTTCAGATCATATTTATTGCATTGGTGAATTTGTTTTTTTGAGACAAGGTCTCCCTCTGTTGCCTGAGCTGGAGTGCAGTGCTGTGATCCTAGCTCACGTAACCTCAAATTCCTGGGCTCAACCGATACTCCTGCCTCAGCCTCCTTAGTAGCTAGGACCGGACATGCCTTACCATGCCCTGTCAATTTTTAAATTTTTGTGTAGAGACGAGGTCTTGCTGTGTTGCTCAGGCTGAGCTTGAATTCCTGGACTCAGGTCATCCTCCCACAGTGCTTGGATTACAGGCATGAGCCCCCACACCCAGCCTGCATTGGTGAATTTATTTTAGACCTATTTTAGAGAAAATAGTAGAGAAGAGGAAGATGACAGAATAATAGATATTTGTAAAATCAAATCACCTATATATCATTAGCTTATAGCTACTAAGTGGAGCCTTTAGGGCCTTCCCTGTAGAATTTTCCTCTTAGTGGGTCATAAAGAGTCATATAAACTCACTAAACCTCAGAAATTTTTTTTGTTTCTTCATTTTATTCTGATAGCAGGTTCTTAAAGTATGAGGACTATTTTTTTTCACTTCCCAAAGTTATCAGCTGTATTTTATGGGAATGTAGGTGATCACTTTATGAAAACGCACAAAAAACCTTTGTTATATATTTAGCAGTGGCTTTCTCACCTATTTAGAAGTGATCATTGAAATAAGTACCCTTTGAGGCAGGGGTTTTGCAACTAGTCAATTAGTGCCTTCATACTTACTAATTGTTATGAAATGGTAAAAGCTGTTTTTTTAAATAAAAAATAACCCCTTAATCAACTGGTAGGATTAATGAGGTAAGTGAAGAATTCTACAAAATTAATGATACTTAATCTAAAGTAAAAGTTTTGAGTGAGTAAAAGAATTGTATGTCCAATTTAGTGGTGATCTAGGACTAAGATTGGGTATTTGATATCGTCTATATTAAAGCAGTGACATGGAAAGCAGTTTTAGCTGATACACGTATTCCTCGAGTAAGAGGTAAAACTTTCATTAAAATTGAGAAGACAGGTGAATTTTGGTAAGAGGTTATTTATTTCTTTTTTTTTAAGTTAGTTAATCTTTTTTTTTGAGGCAGAGTCTCACTTTGTTGCCCAGGCTTGAGTTTTGTAGCATCAGCTTAGCTCACAGAAACCTCAAAATCCTGGGCTTAAGCAATGCCTCAGTTTCCTGAGTAGCTGGGACTAAAGGCGCATACCATCACGCCTAGTTATTTTTTTCTGTTTTTAGTAGAGATGGGGTCTCACCCTTGCTCAGGCTGGTCTCAAACTCCTGACTTCAAGCGACCCTCCCACCTTGACCTCCTAGAGTACCAGGATTACAGGCATGAGCCACTGTCCCCAGCCTTGATAAGAGGTTATAAAGTGGAAACAAATGTGTTTGTGTCAAAATATGATTCAAGAAAAAGTACAGAATTTATGCATACATATCATGAAGCAGAGATGGTAAATGCACTAAACTATCTTCTGAGCAGACCCTTGTATGACAGTCCTAAAAAGACTGCCTCATTAGGCAATGATGCATTTATTTCTAGGTGGAAAAAGCCCATGAAAGTGAATAGTTGTAGAGTGGGATGTTTGAGGAATAAAATAGACCAGCCCATACTGGAAGAAAATATCTTTGCAAACTTGTTGTCTAGGAGGAGATAGGAGTGTGTCTCATCAGAATTTATTGTCAATAAGTACATAATGAATTTTGTACATTGTAGAAATTTGGTAGGTTTTATAATTAAATTGTGTGTGTCATACTATTATGCTAATCCTAGGGCACTGAGGAACAAGAATAAGCCTCATGAAAACTCTTGGGTTATGGGCATGATTTTTTGGGACTTTGTACAATATATTGATATCCACATATTAAGGACTGAGAAAGGCTTATTTTTTAAGAATTGGCTATGCAGTATGTTTTAGATAGTGATTTCTATTCTTAATACAAAAATAAACTCACTGTCTAAATCATTATTTCTGTTTAAATTCAACTTTTCCTGTTGATCTGGGTAAATGACTGCTTACCACCTGAGACATCATGTTATAATATTCAATAATGAGAACAGAAGTAAATACTTTTTAGTTTGAAATATTAGTATAATAATTTATTGCTAGAGTTGTTTTAGAAATGAGCACATTTCACATGATCTATAAAAATGAATGAATTTTAAGGTTCTTTTAGAACCAATATGATTTGATGTCACATAAAACAGTGTGGAGTGATTTCTCATATGTTATAGTTAGATGGCTCTCATATCATTTCCTTTTGTCTTAGTACGTATTTTGGATACCATATCTTCTGGGAAAAATGCAGAACTTGAATGTTAATATAAGTAGGTGGCTCAGCATGGTGGCTCATGCCTGTAATCACAACATTTTGGGAGACTGAGACAAGAGGATCACTGAGGCTAGGACTTCAAGACAAGCTTGGACAACATAGTGAGACCCTCGTCTCTAAATAATAAAAAAAAGTTAAAAATTAGCCAAGACTGGTGGCTTGTGCCTATAGTACCAGTTACTCGTGAGGCCGAGGTGGGCGGATCACTTGAGGCCAGGAGTTGGTGACTAGCTTGGGCAAAATGGCGAGATCTTGCCTCTACAAAGAAAAAGTAAGTGGGTATATGTGATTAGCAGTTTATGTTGTAATCAATTATAAGAATTATGAACTGATATTAATATTTTAGTAGAAATTTAAAACATTAAATAATACATAATCATTTCAAAAGGCCCTTTTGTGGTTTTTCATTTTAAAATACAGGGTCTGTTATCCTAAATGCCATTTGTCCATTTTTAATATCCTCATGTCAGGTTTTTGTTTAATTAAAAAAATTAATGGGTTCATTAGTTGGGTATTATTTGCATGTTACATTCATCCCTAATAATCAAATTATTCTTGAGAGAAAAATATTAATAAAGTGATAAACGAAGACAAATACAACTTACAGTTCTGGTAGATCATTTGTTTATTTAACAAATACTTAATGCCAGGTCATGTGGTGGAAATTGGAAAATTGATACTTTGATAATATCACTTATTATATCTATCTTATAAAGAAATACAGGATGCTATGACAACATATAAGGACTACTTAATTTAATTTTTGATTTTGATGCTGTTTTGAGAATTGAATGTTTTTGAGAATTGGATGCCAGATGCATCAAACAGATTTTTCAGAGAAAAGATCTTTTAAACTGTTATCTGTGTAAGAATAATAGTAAGCCCTCTCAAAAGGAAAACAATGCATTCCTGGTAGAAGAGCACTGTGTATGAAGGTCTGAGACAAAAAGAAAGCATGGCATTTATGAAGAATTAAAAGAGTATGTGTATGAAGAGAGAAGTAATGAAAAGTGATTCTAGAGAGAAAAATAGTCATGGTCTAGATCATGTAGGGCTGATAGTCATGTTGGAGAGCTTAAACTTCCTTTTAAGAATGAGAAGTTATTTAATGATTTTAAGAAGAGGACTGACTCATATTTCAGAAGAATCTATGGTTGTTTTATGGAGAATAATCTGCAGAGGCACTAGAATGGATTTCGGGAGACTGGTAATTCTAGCAAGATTTGATGTCATGGAATGGGTAGTGGTGGTGGGCATACACTGATGTGAATCTGTGGTAAGGAAAATTAAGAGAGGATCTATATGGTGGTGGCTCATGCCTGTAATCCTAGCACTCTGGGAGGCTGAGGCGGGTGGATTGCTCCAGGTCAGGAGTTTGAAACCAGCCTGAGCAAGACCCTGTCTCTACCAAAAATAGAAAGAAATTCATTGATCAACTAAAAATATAATATATATAAAATTAGC